AAAAAAAAAAAAAAAAAAAAAAAAAAAAAAAAAAGAAAGAAAGAAATCGGGTAAGATTAAAAAGATGTGCATTTCTTCATAAACTTTGCTGTCCACATCACAAGATGGCCAGGAGGAATAAAGGTATAGGGCAATCAGATTTACGAGCTATTAGGGTATTTTGGAGATCCAGAAAATTGGTTCCGTGTCTTTCTTTCTGTCTGGGTTGGGGATGACTTGTTTAGGAGGCTTTTTTGTTTGTTTGTTTTGTTTATAGTCCAGAGAGAAAATAGGGAGGTAGTACTTAGAGCTGTCTTTAGGCTTATGAACAAATGGTAACAGGAACTTTGAGGTTTCTTATTAGACTGCCTAGTCTAGTTTTACAGTACAGAAAATGAGGAAAGGATTAAAGGAAGACACCCTCCTTAGAAATAAAGATTTTACATTTGTCTAGATTCTTACAAAGCTCAAAGTGATGTGGTACAAGAAAGCAACAAGTTCCAATAATATTTCTGGAATATTACTGAAGAAAACTCAGATTTCTTGGCTGTTTCTTGGGTCCCCAGTGGGTTCCCTAAATCTTAAGGAGGCTGTTAAGTATTAATTGCACCTTTATTTTCAGGTGGAATGTAGATTTAATAGCTGAAAGATATTACTGCTTAAAATAATTTGGAGGAGTTCCAAAGCTTGCAGAATGAAGGTCCATACTAATACTCTGCAGTCTGTAGCTAAACAGAGCTGACATTTCCATCAAAGCCTGCTATACAATATGGGTCAAGACAGGACAGATAAAAGCCAAGCTGTCTTTAACCTGGTACATACGGACATCTCCCTGTTTGCTTAAAGGGAATCTGGGAGCCATGGACCCTGTATGAGAAGGTTGTCCAAGGGCACAATGAATCCCAGCTTTGCACGAGTTGCAAAAGAAGTCATAGAATTTATGACTGCCAATCCCCCTCCCCTCCATTCTCATACTCATTCCAACATTTGGTATTTAGGTTATGCTTTAACATGAATTTGAGGTAAGAGCCATTTTACGCACTGCTGGTGAAGGTGACATTGACACTGTACGACTGTCCTTTGCTCAGTTGGCAGGGCTGAGTGGGGCATGGGCTCACATTCACTTCCTTTATAACTCCATCCACAGAACCTGCAAAAGAAAAATGAATTGAATAGGAGAAGTAAATCAGTTAGACTGTCCACTACCAAATGGGAAGGTGCTCTGCTCTCCCAGTTAGGGTGAATTCTTTCTCCTCGGACTGTTTCCCAGGATGGAACCTTTAAGAATAATGCCCAATTAGAAGTCAGAGTCTTGATTCATCTTGCTGCTAAAATCATAGCCTCTAATTCAGATGATAAAGAAGCTAGTTGGTTTTCTGCCTAAGAGAAAGTTAATATTTGTCAAACTAAATAATATTGAGACCATATCCATAAATGATTATATTAAAGATCATATTATTTGGAGAAACTCCAAATGTTCCTAGAGTCTTGTCTTGCATTCTTAACGGTAAGGGTCACAGTTTTAACCTAAACCTTGAAAATGTTTGCTTCAACCTTCCTTTTGATTAAAATATTCCATTTTCCCTTTGTTTTTCTAGCACATAGATTAGCATGTAAATTTGATGAAAGTTGTTCACTACAGGAAAAACTGGACTTTTTTTTTTTTTTGAGACAGGGTCTCACTGTGTCACCCAAGCTGGATGCAGTGGCACAATCTCAGTTCATTGCAGCTTCAACTTTCCCAGGGTCAAGCGATCCTCCTGCCTCATCTTCCCAAGTAGCTGGAACAATAGGCACGCACCACCACACCTGGCTAATTTGTGTGTTTTATAGGGACAGGGTTTTACCATGTTGCCCAGACTGATCTCAAACTCCTGGGCTTAAGCAATTTGCCTGCCTCAGCTTCCCAAAGTGCTGGGATTACAGGTGTGAGCCACTGCACATGGCCAAAAGCCATACTTTATGCAGAAATAGCTAGAAAGCAAACCTAGAGCCTGAACCTCCGAGGAGGAAGATCAGAAATGAATTACACCATCTTTCTACCCCAAGTTCTACAGTGCAAACACTGATTTAGGGAGTCTGTTACTATTGGTTGGAAAGTCTGCCAGATCCCAGAACAGACTGAACCTTTCTTGAATCTGGCTTCAAGAGTTTTTAGTTTCTGAATCATTCATTTTTAGACACTACGGAAATTGTACCTTGAGTAGCAAGGATGAAGGAAAACAGAGGCATCTGAAAGAATCTCACAACAATGGGCTTTATCGTCCTGGTTTTAGGGGTTAGAAGCCAGAAGAGCAAAGATTACTGAGACTTGTCCAAGGTCAAATTGCCTGGAAGGGGCAGATCCAGGACTCAATGGATGGGCCTGACTTGGAAGCCCTTGTCACTGGAACCTGAAGGAAGCTAGGAAGCTTTAAATACGTAGCCATGGTGACGAATGGAAGATACCTCAAGGAAATTCCCATCTGATAACTACTTGAGGACTGGATAAAAATCCAGGCTCAAACTCAACTTTTCAGGTTTCTGAATTCAGCATCACCTCTTTGCCCCTCACCATGATTCTCTTTCTATCTTAGAGGTTCAACCCCCATATCCTCTGTGATTTTCAGTGATTAATATCTTTTATCCAGATTTTGTACCTTTTCCCTTAAACTTCTGGCAAATCCTTTGCCCAGTATTTTGTCTTCTTGAAATCCCTTCATTTTTTTGCCCCAACCTGACTTCCTAGAGAAATAAGCAGTACTATTAAAGGGATGGATAAAACAATGAAAAGTATCAGAATGTCCAGTCTTGGCTTTTAAAATTAGGCTGATTTGGCTGGGCACAGTGGCTCATGCCTGTAATCCCAGCACTTTGGGAGGCCGAGACAGGTGGATCTCCTGAGGTCAGGAGTTCAAGACCAGCCTGGCCAACATGGCAAAACCCTGTCTCTACTAAAAATACAGAAATTAGCAAGGTGTGGTGGCATGCACCTGTCATCCCAGCAACAAAGGAGGCTGAGGCAGGAGAATCGCTTGAACCCAGGAGGCGGAGGCTGTAGTGAGCCAAGATTGCACCACTGCACTCCACCCTGGGCAACAGAGCAGTCTCCGTATCAAAAAACAAAAAAATAAAATAAAATAAAAAACAAAGAGGCTGATTCCAGAAGCCTGCTTACTTCCAATAAGTGGACTATGGAATTTAAGAGGAACTACCACTTAATACTTAACAGAGGAATGACCCTAAACAGAAGAACTACCTCACCTCTGAACTAAGAATGGCCCTTAAGAGAGGAACTACCTTCCACTTCTGAGCTGGGCACTGCACCATTTCCACTGCACTTCTGCAGTTTCTTCAATTATTTAGTCCTGTTCTTTGAGGCCCACTTATAAGTCATGAAATATTTTGGCTCCAAAAACAACATGAAGTGCCTTAAATCTTGACTAAGGTTGTTAAGACCTGGATTTTTCCAAGAATCAAGGGGATTGAAGAAGAGGACAGAGGTTAAGGTCTTTATAGTTTCAGTACAAGCTTAGGGCACAAGTTAAACTTAACTTCAAATAGTGCTGACTCACACAGCCAAGATGGCAGAAGTGCCAGCTGTGTTAAAGAAGAATACTGCTACTTGAGTCTGGGTTTCATTTCCTCCAAAATATTTACTTGGCCTAGGTCTATATAGCTGCTGGAATGACATATCTGCAAATGCTGCGTATGTTTAAAAAATAAGGGTAAGATGTAGAAAGGTACTAGAAAGAGTCAGAAACAGGATTTATCCCTGGGAATCCTCAAAACAAATAAAAGTTTTTCTTTTTTCTTTTTTTTCTCCAGACATCCACTGGAGAGAAAAAGTTTTTAAAAATTAAAAAACTTTTAAAAAAAGAAATAGAATTCATCTGACTTACCTGTGTTTTTTCTAAGCAGTTTCAAAGACTGATTTATGATTCATAAACTAGGTGTAGCTCGAGAGTCTTTAATAGAAGAGAATAAAGCACTGAAGAGTAACGCTAGACACTCTCTATAAATCTCCGAACTAAAAACTGTTCATATTTGATAGGTAAAGGAGAATTGACCAAATGATGCAGTACATAGAGCCAGCTCCCCTGCTCTGTATCCTGGGAGGGCTGTATCAGGACAGTCATACCCTCACCCTTCCTCCCTTCTCAACACCAGATTTAAAGCAGCACACATGTGGCAAGCCATCACTCAAATCATACAGCTACCATTTCCATGTGGAATCTTGCGACTGGCTCTCCCAAACTGTTCCCACCTCTCCCCCACCATCTTTCAATCTCGTTCTAGTGTCTCTCCAATCTGTGGTCTCCAAACCGTAACTGTATACCACTATCAATGAGAACAATTTTAAGCACACATCTGCAATCTACAGATGTATACTCGATTTTAGGAACCTGTGTTCTCTAAAATAAGTGTGTGGGTTTTTTTTTTTGTTTGTTTAATCTCAGTCTAACCAAGGACAAAAGTACTATTTGTATATAATAAATGCTTGACCAAAAACGTTTAAATAAAGTCTTTAAAAATCCCATTTCCTCATCCAGGTCCCAGAGACTGGGCAGTTGAATGGGACAGAATGGAAGTGAACTGCCTGGTAACAGTGCCTGTAACAGGGTAAGTTCAGTTTGGCCATTCGGCCATCATTGCTGAGAGGCAGACTCTGGTGCCTGACGCCTGGGTTTGAAATCTCACTATCTCTGCTACTTACTATATAGCCTCAAGACAAGATAATTAACCTCTCTGGGGATAATAGAGTAGCTGAGCTAAAACAAATACAGATGTTAGATAAGTGTCTGGAACACAGTGATATATATTTATTATTATTACCACATCTGGATTTAGTCCACGAATTTAATCTAGAGGAGCTCCTCCTGGGTAGGTTAGGAAGTTCCCTTCTGACACAAAAGCTGGCCTCTTACCTCAAATATACTCTGTGGATAGAAATTATGTTTCCAGCCAATAGGATGGACTTTTTGTCTCAAAAGTAGAATGCATGAAGACAGAGGCAAACTGCAGGTTGAGAGTACGTTATCGGCTATGCAGTCAGTCACCAGATTAGCTCAGTACTATAAAAGAATGAGGTGAACTGAGAAATCCAAGTAGATGTTCTTTGCTGCCTGTGGCTGCCCTTGGGTAGAACAGTCTCAAAAAACTCTATCATCACATTGACCAACACTACTCCAGCTAGGTTGGTAAATAGTACCTTGCAATCCTTTACCCCTCAGCTTGCTTCTCCATCATAGCAAAGTTCTCAAGCTGTACACTCTCTTAAGCATCCAAAACAGTCTGAGAAGCACTCTCTTCCACTCCAACCCATTTTTGGTGAATAGAAAAAAAAAAAAAATCCCAAACTTCAATCAACAGTCTATTGAAAATCAGTGCTAATGTTAAGGCTTTCAATGTCCAGCTTCCACCTGCTTCTTTCAAGGCTGGGTTACATAATCTAGCAGGAAGTAAGTAAAGGGTAGTTAGTACTTATAGCTTCTTCATCCAGTTTTCTGCTGACAAGAGGTTCTTAGACTTCCAGTGTCAATAGAACAAACTCCTCAGCTGTAACCTGCAAACATTATGAAACTAGTTTGCTTAGCCCCATTTCTCACTTAAAGAAATCCCACCCCAGGGAAGGTGGGTGTAGAGTGGAACACAAAAATCTTTTGATGTGGGCGCTAAAGTTTTTACATCATATTTCGCAATTCAAAAGTAAATTAAAAATCTGCAGCTGAAACCCTCCTTCCCTTTAAAAACTTCTTCCTATGGGTGTACTCCTGCTTTTACAAATGAATAGAATAATTTCTGGATTTATTTTCCTTCTTTTTTTGGAAACCCAAAGTGGCTCACAAAGATCCACGTTTCCTACCACTTACTGGGTGTGAGATCGTGGGAAAGTTACTCTATGTGCTTCACTTTCCTCATCTGCAAGGTAGCTTGTGAGGATGGAATGAGTTATTAAAATTAAGAGTGTCTTCATCCACACGCTGACCACTAAGTTTAATGGAGGGAAAGGCAGTAATTGGAAGCGATAATAGCTTTCAAGTGCCAGTCTCCTATATCAATGAATAGTATTTAAGTGTTAATAGGCCAGCAGTCTATTCCTTAATCAATCCTGTCCCCTAATCCCCAACTTTGCTTTTGCCTCAACATGAATTTTTATGACATAGGGGGAAAAGTATATATTTCATCTATGTTTTCAACACGTTTCATCGAGCAGTTACTATTACCCGGGCACTAGATATAAAGCAGTAAACTTACGAAATTGCCTTTGCGAAAATCATAACTGAGGAAATTATGTCAGGAAAAGAAATCAGACCTAACCTACTCCATCTTCCTTCTAACCTCGAAACTGTCTTTGTTCATTCCTGGGTGTAGGCTGAATTAGCTTTGCAGAGGAATTTATAGTTTAAACTCTGAAAGGGAATGGATAATAGCCCTTTCCTGAAAAACCCCTTCTTGCCTGGGGACAAGTCTACCTTTGCAGGACTAACAGATTAGCTACAAGGATAAATATCGCGATTTAGGGGCCATGCAACCTCTGGCTGCAAGAGTCTGAACATCCCCAAACTGCTCCTGGTAATAGTATCACTATCGTAAAACCTAAGGTCAGTGCTTGAGATACTTTGCAGACCCTGCATTCCGATGCAGCAAATGACACCAACCAGAAGTCAGCAAGAAAAGACTTCGACCCCTTATGATTTTATCTTCAACCCAACCAATCAGCACCCCCCACTTTCCGAGCCCATACTCGCCAAATTATCCTTAAAAACTCTATCGAAAGTCATATTATAAAAGGTTTGCTTTCTTTATAATCGTTAAGTGTTTGGAAGATAATTTTTGAATCATGAAGTCAGCATAACTTCATTTGACTTCTCAATAATCTTGACACTAGAAGCAATAAAAGAACCATTATAAAAAATAAAATAAAATAAAAAACTCTGATCCCCGAATGCTCGGGGAGACTGATTTGAGTAACAATAAAACTCCGGTCTCCCTCACAGCCAGCTCTGCGTTTATTACTCTTTTTGCCATTGCAAATCCCCTGTCTTGATAAATCGGCTTTGTCAAGGCAGTGAGCAAGGTGAACCTACTGGGCAGTCACACTTACTCTGGTTTCCCATTCTGCTGCGTGACTTTAGGTAGGCTACCCAACATCCCTGGAATTCAATGATTCACTATATGATCTCAGTGCTTCCTTTCCATTCACAGATCTTACAAATCAGTTTCATGTCTCTTTCATTGATAGTTACATCTCTCCACCTCCACCTCTGAACAAAATTGCTCAGGTTCTGTTCCAACAATTCTATAGACTCGACTCAATGAAGGCACTCAGAATTTCTACCACTGTTGTATTTTCCAACAAAGATTCCAACCACAGTGGCGAGAGGGAGTTATGTGTCACAAGCTGTGATTAGAGACACAATGAAATTTATACAAGGAAAAACTGATTAAGAATCACAAGATTCCATAGCTAGCCCAAAGGAAGTGCTATTTATAACAATAAATGAAAACGGGAAATTGACTTTTGACTTGTCAGCAAAAGGTAAATTAAAAGAAAAGCAAAGGGAGTTGGAAGGTGGAGGTGGGATTGCAAGATGCAAAGCATAAATAAAAAGAAGTTCTGTGCGCCACTCCTCCACCGGCGCTGGATACAGCCCTTCTGTTGTCTGCCCTACAAACTTTAGGAAACTGCAGCAAAAGGCCCCCCTCCCGGAGTTTCAGAAACTCCAAAACACGTGTTCTAAGGAAAGAGACAAAGTTTCTTTGACCTCTTGTGTGGTCCGGTTTCATGAAGGCCGGCGCCTTCTTCCCCCACCCAGCCCACTCCAGTTAGGGTCCAAGGCTGAGCCTGGCCACCCGAGGAACCCGCCCAACCCAGCCCGGGGGGTCTCAGCGCGAGGGTCCGACTGGGGCTTCCGCAGAGGGCGCGGGAACCTCGGGGCGGGCCCGGGGCTCACCGCAGTCCTTGAACTGCACTGGTTCGGCCTGAGCGGCTGCGCTGAACGCCAGGAGCAGGAATGTAGCGGCCAGGAAACTCATCGCGGCTAACGAAGTTCCAAGCTGTCGGGAAAGAAGCGGCAGCCGCCCGCGGTCACAAGACAAACCTGTGGGGGCGGGCCCGGGGAGGGGCCTAGTCAGGCGACCTGTCACCAGTAACTGTGGCTGAAGCCAGCCCGCGCCCCGCCTCCGGCTCGGGGGAGCCAGCTCCGGCCCGGTCGGGCCCAGAAGCCAGCAATCTCCGCCCATGCCATCCCTTCAGAGGCCAGGTCCGCCGGGACCCACCTGCGCCCCGCCCCGCCTCGCTCCTCCCCGGCCCGGTCCTTCCCTTTAGAGCTCCTCCCCGACTTTATGGGTGCGTCCCCGCTGCCGCCGTCGGGAGAATTTCTAGCCAATTAGACACCTTCTCCTTCCTCAGTACCCAATAGGCATGTTGGGGGCGGGGCCTCCGTCAGGTCCCGGCCGCCTGTTAGTTCTCCCCGCCTCTCGAGGCCCCGAGCGAGAAACAGGGCAGACGCGAGGGGCGGAGCTTGTAGAGGAAGATGGCTGCTGCTCCGGGGTTGTCTCTAACGGCCGCGACGCAGAGAGCGGTCACTCACTGGCCGAAGGGCAGGTACCAAGACTAGAAAGGCACCTGGAAAGGGTGTTTGCTTCTGCACCTGTAGGACAAATGGGAAACTAAGGCCTGTGGGAGAGGTGAGGGTTTTGTGGGAGGCCGTCCAGGTTGGGGTCGCCAGGCTTAGCGTTAGGCGCTCCAGGTCGAGGGTGGCCAGGTGCTTCTGCTCCCGGGCTCACCCTCCTCCCTTGCGCGCAGGCTCCTTGCGGCCTCCCTGGGACTCCGGGCGCGTAGGGAAGCGTCGTCCTCCAGCCCCGAGGCCGGCGAAGGACAGATCCGCCTCACGGACAGCTGCGTCCAGGTAGGAGGCCGGGCGCGGGGCGGCGATACCCAGGCGATTGGCCGGAGCAGGGGGAACTGCTCTTCACCCAGCCCTTTAACTCCCCTTGCCCGGCATTCTTGATCCCCCTTCCTGCATTTCAGAGACTTTTGGAAATCACCGAAGGGTCAGAATTCCTCAGGCTGCAGGTGGAGGGAGGTGGATGCTCCGGATTCCAATACAAATTTTCACTGGATACAGTTATCAACCCCGACGACAGGCAAGGAGGAAGGGGTGGGTCCCCAGAGGAGGTACGGGAGGGATAAAAGTGTCTCCTATTTAAGGTGCACTTTTATTACAAATTTAAAGGATTTACCTGGAATGGTTAACACCGCCTGTCTCGCAGTGAGGATGCAGTAAAGGTTTGTTGTCCTGAATCAAAATAACTAAGTTATAGGAGGAAAATTGGCCTGCCCAGGTCCACTGGGTAGTCAGTGGAAAGTCAGGCCAGGCTAGTTTCCAGGCCTAAGTCCCTAAACGGTTCCCAGTATCTATTCCATTGAATCATTTTGCTTCAAAGAAAATCAGCACCTGTTAGAGATAATTGGGAAGCTCCCTCTGTACTTTAGAAACAGATGATGTGCACCTCTGGGCTCAGGGGTGACTTTTTTGGTGTTTGTAATACTCATTAATGCCTTCCTCTTGTCTTTTCAGGGTATTTGAACAGGGTGGGGCAAGAGTGGTGGTTGACTCTGATAGCTTGGCCTTCGTGAAAGGGGCCCAGGTGGACTTCAGCCAAGAACTGATCCGAAGCTCATTTCAAGTGTTGAACAATCCTCAGGCACAGCAAGGCTGCTCCTGTGGGTCATCCTTCTCTGTGAAACTTTGATGCTATGACAGGTGACCCTGAGATTGTCACCAGTTGTACCAATTTGAGGAACTTGGAATTAGTAGAATTCTACAGGTTTCCTTCTAATCATGCCCCTCTCAATTTTATTTCCCTGCAGTCCAGGAATGTTGTGTTTTGCCACTGTTATTTTCCAAACGTGAAGATTTTACTCTTGGCTTAATTTTCCCCTCCAATCTCTCTCAGTGCTAAGGCTGAGCCTCAGATGCTGTTACCTCAGATTTAATCACTGGTTGAAACTCCATGTAATCTGTAGAGCCTCTTTGGCTCTAAAATTTGGAATTAACTTCTCTGGCTTTAAGAGCTGCTTGTACATATGTGGATAGCTATGTATAAAAGCTTTATTTTAAAGTCCTTATTGTGTTGTGGATCAGGGTCACAGATTGGGTAGTGTGGACACCAGTTATTAGAGGATGAGAAAGGTAAATGTTCTCTTTTTCATTCCACCCTGCCAGAATGTGCCACTTGACTTATCTTTATTGTCTGTGCAGCCCATTCACCACTTCCTATTTGATAGGACAGATACATTTTACTCTCATACTCATGGATCTGCTAGGAGTCATAAAACCAAGGGCACATTACCCAGAAAACTTGGACCAAACCCTCACTACTACTGAATTATTTCAAAAGTAGCCTCCCTACTCATAACAGACTTTTTAAGATTCTATGGCAATTTAATGACTGAATCTTTTTAGGATATGTTGCTTTACCTGCCTTCTGTTGTAAAATGGCTCTGGGATCATGCACAGCAAGAAGTGATCCCTTTATTGTTATAGGTAATAGATTCTTAGGAACCTTTTTTTAGATTGGGTTACCAGATGAAATGTAGGATGCCCAGTTACATTTGAATTTCAGGTAAACAATTTCTAAGTATGAGTATGTCTCAAATATTGCATATATTAAAAATTATTTATTTGAAATTCAAATTTAGGCATCCTGTATTTTTATTTGCTGACCTTGGCAACCCTACTTTAAGGTCACCAAACAGAAACTTAAAATCACAAATTCTCGTGAATTAAAGTACTTGTGTAGGTGTGGCACTTAAATGGGCTTTGGAGCTTGAAATAATCCTATTAACAGTGCAGCGGAGCTGTGGGGACAGACAATGAAAGAAAAAGAATCCACTGCCATCACCACACTGAATGATTTATTAATACTGATGTTGGAGAAACTACAACCAAGTTGATTCTGGAAGAGTTATTGGTTAAATCCAACTTTTGCTTGGGAGCCTAGAAATGTGTTATAGCAAAGACTTGCACTTCTGCACTGGTTTGGAATTAAGGTTATTTAGTAAGAATTTACTATGAAAAAATGGAAATAGAGTTTAGGAAATATCTGAGGCAGAAACTTAGATACACCAACATGGCAAAACCTAGGATTTAGAGAAAACAAACCTATCATGCTGTTAGAGGAAAGAAGGGGACACTCAGAAACCTGAGCACATTTCTTAGTGCCCATGGAAGGAACAGAAAGCGGTGTACCATGAGAGCATCTTTGTACACACATGACCAAGATGGTACCGCCAATACCTGCGCCTGATAAGGTTTTCAGTTTGGACTACCTGTTTTTTCATCCCGCTTTAAAAAATTTTGTTACATTTTAAACATTAGAACCTATTCTTTCAGAATATTTTTGTGGGTTATTCATTGATTTGGTGGTTTTAAAACTCAAGCACAAGCAGAACAGCTTCTGTTGCTAAATCAGTCAATCAAATTACAGTGGTCCACTAGACAGAAACAGGGTCCCTTAGGATACAGAAGCTTATATGTGAGTATCTACTGTTAATGGGAGAATTGGAATTTTATGTTTAGAAAAACTCAGATTTGGGGATGGATGCGGTGGCTCCTGCCTGTAATCCCAGCACTTTGGGAGGCCAAGGTGGGCGTATACCCGAAGTCAGGAGTTCGAGACCAGCCTGGCCAACGTGATGAAACCCTATCTCTACTAAAAATACAAAAATTAGCCAGATGTCAGGTGCCTATAATCCCAGCTACTCAGGAGACTGAGGCAGGAGAATCACTTAAACCTGGGAGGCAGAGGTTGCAGTGAGTCAAGATTGCACCACTGCACTTCACCCTGGGCAGCAGAATGAGACTCCGGCTCAAAAAAAAGGCAGATTTGGGAAAAATCATGTTACTTCACACTGAGAAAGCTTCATGGGGAAACCAGAAGTGACAGCAAGAAGTTTCCGTTGGAAAGTGGTGACTTAACACAGGACATGGGGGAATGATAGCATCAGGGGGCCATGGGCAGTTTGTTTGGAATAAGTAGGACACATGGTAAAATGAGTTGGGGGTTCTACTGCAGGCCCTTTCTGACCAGATGCCCTTTTCTTGGTGGCCTGTAAAAGCCAGTGGTCATTTTCACAAATTTTGCTCACTGCACATTCATTTAGGAAAACTTTGTACTCTTCCAGTTTCAATTGGGACATCTTACACCTTCCCGTTCTTTGGAGGGGAGATTGTCCAGGCCTATTTGTTGCAGAATTGGCGCTAACGTTTTACGCAAGCCAGTGCTGAGGCATAAGAACCAGTCAAGGGAGCTCTGAATCTGCTTTATGTTGTGAATCAACTTTATATTGTTTTTCAAAGAGAAGGTCTCCTTGTCAATGTCCAGATCTTATTGTGGTATCATACTTCAGTTATGTGATGACAGTGACCAATGATATATAAATTATGTGTCCCATCCACTCAGTTTTTTTTTTTTTTGAGACAGGGTCTCACTCTGTCTCCTAGGTGGGAGTGCAGAGGTGCAGCCTCTACCTCCCAGGCGCAAATGATCCTTCCACCTCAGCCCCTGAAAATAGCTGGGACTACAGGTTCACACCACCAATAAGGCTAATTTTTGTGTTTTTTGTAGAGATGGGGTTTTGCCATGTTGCACAAGAGTCTTGAACTCTTGTGCTTAAACAATCCTCCCCCGTCAGCTTCCCAAAGTGCCAGGATTACAAGTGTGAGCCACCACGCCTGGCTCATCCGTAGTTTCTTTGTGTGGGAATGTTGACTGGTTACAAGAGATAGGAAAAGAAATTCAGAAGTTAGTGAATAGGAAGGACTACTAAAGTAGGTGTTCAGGAAGAGCTTCTTTCTGTAACTTCTGAGAATCAAGCTCTGTTCATTTGTCATTTGTTATGAAGCATTAGAGTATAGGGGTGGCATTTGGCAGGATCAGCCTGGTATAGGGAAGTGGGCAGCACTGATCCTGATGGTACAGCTCTCCCTTGAAATCTGGACATCAGCTAATGGTGTGCAGCAGGCCTTGGGCAGGGCCTAACACTGTTCACTGCATGTTTATCTGAAAGGAAGGAATCTCTTCTGTTTTTCTTCATATCTAGCATTGATGTGTATGATTGCTCTTTTAAAATCCCTATTTGCTGTTCTTCATAAAAATGCCACAGGGCTGCCTAACAAATTTGCGTTAAGGAATTTGGACATAATTAGCACCTGGCTTTAATTGTAAATTTTAGTCAGATAAATATGTAGAGGGAGCATTTAA